CAGAAGCAGGAAAATGTGGAGAGATTATTACATTAAAATACTGTCGAATCAAATTTCAGTTATTTGGGCGTTATTAATTTGGGGTTGGTAAAAATCACCTCAAATAAGCTTCTAAGTGAAAATATGGCATCTATAGCGATTAGAGCTGAGTCTCTCCGCTACGAGGTGACTAACAAGCATGAGCAGAAATAAAGAAATTATAACAGGTACAGATACTTTTGTCAAAAGAGGGCTGCTGTCTAGAACACACACCCCCCAACTTCACAAGTCCCTTTCAGTTTTAAATATTCACCCTCCCCGGCTTCCCACGTCACTGAAATATCTCAGCAACAAATGTACTAGCAAACAAACTTTATCTTTTAGTCCTCCCTTATCTAAAACTAGGCAGAAAGAGCTTAGCCAGATCTAGATGGTTCAAAGAGGCTGCTGTAGACCCTGAAGCCATCCTCCTGACAAGGACAGCTGAGTGACCCCGACAGACCTCCACTACAAGGGTGCTGTCCTGTGTTTGTTTATTTTATTTTATTTTTTTTCCTTGAGGTGAGGTCTTACTGTGTGGCTAGGCTTGAACTTGTGAGCCTCCTGCCTCAGCCTCCCACATGCTGGGATTAGACATGTTTGCCATTGCACTCAGCCCACAATGGTTAACTTTATGCCTGGTGCCTGGGGCTAAGGGATATCCAGATAGCTGGTGAAACTAATTCTGGGTGTGTCGGGGAGGGGAGGGCGTTGCTGATACTAGCTAGGGTGAGTACCATCTAATGAACCCGTGGGACACCTCGACTAGAGCACAAGGTTGGAAGAAGCAGGGTTTGTGTCTCTGCATGAACCTCTCACACGGGCACTCCTGGTTCCCGGGCCTTCGGGTCAGATCAGTGTCCACTGCCCCAGCCTCCACCCCAATCCCCAGCCCTTGAAGCTGGGACTTGGACCAGGATGTACACTGATGGTGCCCCAGTTCCCAGGCCCACATATCTGGGCCTCTGATTTGCAAGCAGATGACAGGACTTCTGCATTTTTACAACTGCATGAGCCAAACACTCATAATCAGTGCCTATTTTACATGTCCCCCATCCACAGTTTTGCTTTCTGAGCTTTTTGTTACTTTCAGTGAATGTATGTTTTTATTTTATCTTTTTTTTTTTCAGTATTGGGGATTAAAGCTAAGGATAGCCCATCACTGAACTCCAAGCCCCATCATCTTTTTATTTTACTTTGACACAGAGGATCTCTAAATTACACAGGCTCAATTCAAACCTGAGATCCTCCTGCCTCAGCCCCCTGTTACTGGCATGCATCACACTGCTGGGCTTTTGATATAAACCTATCAAAGGAAAATTCCGTAAATAAAAAACTCATAATTTTTAAGTAATTTTAATTACAATGTATTGCTGTCATTGTTCTATGTCCTCGTCTGTTACTATTGTTGATCTCCTCCTGGGCCCTGTTTATGACCCACTAATCTGTGTGTGAGGAAAACACACCATGTGTGCGGGGTTCCGTGCGCTCTGCTAAGTCAGGCAGCCCTGCCTTAGGCTGCACCCCCTGAGAATAACAGCGCATCCCCGGAGGTAAGGGCAGGACTCCTGTTTCCTGCTGATTCTCTTTCTGTGGACAGAGAGGGCTCTGTGGGCCTGCTGTGGCAGCCCTGCCCCTGGTTCACCACCACTGCCTAATGACCCACTCTGCTTTACATCCCCGGTGAGTTCTGCCTCCTCGAGAGAAGCAGGTGCAACCCAAAAGGTTTTGACAAGGAAATGAAGAGTGTATCCAGAGAAGTGTGAGAGAGCCGGGTGTAAGGGCACACACCTGTAATGCCAGCACTCAGGAGGCTGAGGCAGGAGGATCACCGAGTTGGGGGCCAGGCTGGGCTACATGTGGGACCCTGTCTCAAAAAAAGACAAAAGGATAGTGTGGCAATGGGGTGGCAAGTGTAACAGGGACTGCATTTGTGGACTCCCCCTCAGTGACAAACCAGCTTCTCCCCTGATCTCCCACCTTGTATCTGGGAGGAAGAGGAACGTAAATGCCCAGCATGGATGGACAAGAAGCCTGCCAGACAGGAAGTGGACCGGAAGCACTTTCCTGAGGACACAGGGCATCATTTGCATAAAGCAATTATGTGCTATCATCACACGAGCCTCCTTATTTATTTAAAAATTAAATAAAGCCCCCACCGCCGCCCATCACTGCTTTCTTCACTATCACACCTTTCCCCACGTCGATAAATACCATCTTTCTGAATTAATTCTCTCGTTTGAACCACTGGCCCTTCTGCATTTCTCCTCCCCACACCCTTCAAATGAGTGAGTTCATCTATCTGCGTACCTGCTCTGAGCGTCAGCTAGGTTAAGCTACATGGAGAGGAAAGGGAATGAATCTTAACTTTATCTAGTAATTACTGTTATTATCATTATTATGTGAGGTACTCAGGGCCAGGCCCGTGCTACAGGCCGTCTGCCACTCAGCTACAGCCTAGTCCTTTTTAGTTTTTGAGACAGTCTTGCTAAGTTGCGAGACTAACCTTGAATTTGCGATCCTCCTGCCTCAGCTTCTCCAGGAGGCGAGATTACAGGCTTGAACCACCACACTCTGCTTATTTATTTAGTTTATTGCTCTTTGCTCTGACTTCCACCAGGATTTCATTTGCACCCGCATTTCTCACTTTATCTCCTGGAGACAGCTTCCTAACTTTTTCTTAGTATCATGGAGTCCTCGGAAAGTCCTCCCGCATTATCTCGGGCCAGAATTTGCAGCCAGTGGGGTTTCAGTAGGGCTCTAAACTCTCCTCTCGGGCAGAAGCACAGGGTCCACTCCCGAGCAATCAAGCTGCGCAGCTGCCAGGTCTCGATAAAGTCACCCTTGTGGGCCGGCGAGGTCCCCAGAGCAGGTTATCAGCAAGGCTCATGGGGCCTGTGGCTGGTGACACAGGGGAGCCCTCTTGGCCACTGGCAACCTCTTCCCTGCCCCAAAGAGGAGGGGACCTGGCTTCCTCCAGAGGCGGGAACTCTGGGGCAACGTTCCCTGGGGCCCCCGTCTGGTGCCCCTTCAGGGTCTGGCGCCTTGTCTGTCCCCCTCCTTGAAGCTCTGACTTTTCCTTGTGGGGAGGTGCTGTGAGACTTCACAGAGCTCTTCTGACTTATTTTTATATTTTATTTTGTTTTTGATACTGGGGAGTGAACTCAGGGCCTCATGAATGAAAGGCAAATGTTCTCCCTCAGAGCCACACGCCCAGCTCTTTGTTAAAACTTTATTTTCAGTGTGTTTTATTTATGTATTTCTTTATTTTACAGTGCTGGAGATTGAACTCAGGGTCTCAAGCATGCCAGGCAAGTACTCTACCACTGAGCTCCATCTCCAGCCCTTTTTATTTGGAGATAGGGCTTTCTAAGTGTCCTAGGCCAGCCTCAGATCTGCAATCCTCCGGCCTCAGCCTCCTGAGTAGCTGGGATTACAATCCATCATACACTGCAATACCTGGCTCCTTCTGGCTCTTAATGTACTTCATTCCAGGTGTCTGTTTACACGCGTCTCTCTGGGAGGTTTGAGTGTCATGCTTGTGTTTGCCTAAGTCACCATTCAGTCCCTGGTCCCTAGCATGGTGCTGGACACACAGTCAGTAATGACCAGTATTTGATGAATGAAAGCTGCAGCAGAAGATCAAAGAAGATTGGTGTCAAGGGTCCAGGTAGATCGACAGTAGCAAAATCCTGCATACTTCCTGGGTGGCAGGGACCCAGGAGACAGTGCGCTATAAAATGCTAGGGTCCTGGGCTGGGCCAAGTGTTACCCCAAACAGCAAAGGGTGGGAGGGCAGTGCTAGTGATCCAGCTGCGGCTTAGAGAGTCAAGTGAGCCCCACTGTCTGGGAGGAAACCCCAAGATCACAGCCAGTGGCATGCAATATGAATCAAGCAGGGGTGAGCATATGACTTAGTGCCGGGATACCTAGCAGATGGTAGGAACAGCAGGCTGCAGGCCAGTATGGTCAAGGTGCTGATGGTTCAGGACAAAGACTGTGAATGAAGCGGCAGAGTCAGAGGTCTGTGCGTGCTGAATACTGGCCACGGGGCTGGGGTTTAAAGGCACCTGGCCAATCCAGGCCCCATCAGTGTCCAAATACTGGAGCAAGACCAGAACCCAACCACCCCAGTGCTAGGCTTAGGTGCGAAGGGCCAAGAATCCCCACCTGGACCAAAAGCTTGTGATACTTTCCAGGCAATGCAAGAGCTTTAATGAAAGCCCACCTGAGCCCCAAATGCAACAGAAGGGCAGTCAGTGGAGATCCACGTGTGCAAACAGTACAGGCATCAGCGAGAGCCTAGGATTGTAGCTAGGCTGCACAGCGCTCCATCCCCAGCACAGCAAAACAACAGAACAGTAATTGTTGGGCACTGCGCTCTCCCCATATCTGAGCATTTGGCCTGAGAGTGGGTACCTGGCAATGAATTCCAGCGGCTTCAGCACGACCTGGTAACTCATGCCTGGATCTTTGAAGCCATGGGTTATTTTGTGGCTCGCTAAACAGTAACGAGACAGATCCTGAAGTATGGCGGAGACTGAGCTAGTGGCTGGGGTTTTTTACCGGATTGATTAATGAAGAAGCAGGAAATCAAACCAAAGCACAGAGTCCTGAGGGCCTGGGGCCCTCGAGTGCAGGTGTCCAGCAGCCTCAGTGACTCAGATGTTAATTCTTGATGGGAGTGCTTCAAATCACAGCACGACTTAGAAAACAGGCACACGTGTGCACACACATGCATGCACACGCACGTATGCACATGCACCCACCCTGTGCTTCACAACACCAGTCTGGTTGACCTTTGGGTTGACACCTCTGCCCTCCGGATGCACGGATTATCTACCTGATGATCTCAACACCTAGTAGGCCTCCCCTCATCCCTCAATCTGTGCAAATTAATTTCAGTGCTAGCCAGAGAAGAACGTAATTAGGAAGGTAAATTTGCAGAATTCAAATGACAGAATGCATTCAAAAGCCAAACAGAAATAATTACAGATTTACTGGGAGATGAGGGATGGGACCGGAAGGATCTGCTCACGCTCAGCAAATGTTTCTGCTCGGAGCTGGTGGTGGGCGGGCAGGAGAGGGCCTGCTCCGTGGCGAGTCCGTGCTGCTGTCTCTCGGCTCTCTAGCCCGGCCCAAGCTGCAGGTAGACAGTGGGAGAAGGGACTCAAAATAAGACCTCATGGCAAATAATCAGAGAAGCTGAGGATTTAGCTTAGCAGCATAAGCACCTGCCTGGCAAGTGCAAGGTTGTGAGTTCAATCCCTGGTTCCACAAGGAAAAATAATCAGAGAATGGAGATGCCACAGCCGCTGAGGAAGCAGAGTACAAGGGTCGTTAGGCCTTCTTTTGCCTCTGAGTGGGGAGCAGGCTGGCCAGGATAAAACACACATGGCCAGGTCTGGCTTTTTATCCAGGAATTTTGAGTGTGTCGCCTACCTGTGTCCCGGTCACACCCCTTGGAGTAGTCTTTATGTCTCCATTTTCCCAGTGCTCACACCAGAACCCAGAAAGCTTCTGGGACTCCCCTACGTGGCCGCCTCTGCTGCGGGTTTACGGGACAGTGCAGGAGCCCAGCGGGCCCTTTGCTGTGCATCTCTGAAGTGGCTTCTGGTCCACAGCCCAAGAGACCGTGTGTGCTGTCCCCTGGTAGAGGACGTGACGCCATCCCACTGGGCCTCGGGGCTGCTCCTCCCTCAGGAAGCTGTACCTTTTCCTGACTGATTCATCTTTCCTGCCTGTGTGTGCAGAACAGTGCTTGGAGCTAAGTAGCTTCCAATAACCCAGTTTTGATCAGTCTACATTTTTTTTCAGTCCTGAAATTGAACCCAAGGCCTTTAACCTGAATTTAAGAAAGGCCCGGTCCCTGAATTTAGGATCCTCCTGCCTCAGCCTCCCAGAGTGCCGGGATTACAGCAGTTGTGATTGTTATGCCAGGCTGAGCCTTGGCATATCTTTCCCTGTCTAATCTTCCCACGAATTACCTTCTAGTGAAGAAACTGCAGCAAAAGAGGGAGCCCCGGGGAGAAGGGGTTTTAAGGGTGAGAGTGCAGGAGATCTGGAAGCGAATGATGGTAGACAGGGTGGAGGGAACAGGTGAGTGAAACAGGGTTCGGAGACTGAGGAAAGCCATGGTGGATGCAGAGGCCGAGCCAACTGGCTTTCGTCAGTCTGGAGCTGCGGGTCACCCATGAGCATCCGCTGCCCGATACTTGTTTTTATTTGCTTGCATGGTTAATTATTGTAGCTGGTGTCTGATAAGCCTGCGGCCCTCCTGCCCAGAGAGGCAGGGTTATCTGCAGTTTTACAGCCCTGTCGTGCCGTAATGAAGCAGATAAACTGCGAGGTGGTGGCTGCTAAGACGGTAATTAAACTCTGCGAGAAATATGAGCCAGAGGTGGAAGACATGCATGGCGGGGAGGACCAAAGAGGCGCAGAGGGGAAGTGGGAGAGTCCTGCCCCTGCTCCAGCAGCCCCGCACCCCGGAACAGTGACACCCCAAGGCAGGCACCTCGCCCCACACCTCCTCTGACAGCCCCAGTACCCGGGCATAGCCCATCTCCCTGCAAAGGAAACAGCTTTAGAGAGAATGGCTGACTTCCATTTAGCTCAGCCCTGTGTCGGGCTGGCATCACCGGCTGTAAGTGGGATCCCCTAAAATCCTCACCCATCGCAAGATGTTATTCCTCTCCTCTCCGCCATCTCCCTGTCACCAGTTAAATGTGTGTCTGCCACATATAAAAACCACCCTCAGCTTGTGGCCTATACAAAGCCAAGCAGCAAAAATATCCAGCAGCAACCAGGCCATTCTGGGAGGCTGAGGCAGGAGGATCACCAGTTTGAGCCCAGCCTGGGGATGTTAATGACTTAGCAAAACTCATTCTCAAAAAAATGTTTAATTAAAATTTTTAAAGATCCAGAAGTTAAAAACAAATAAAAACAGCCTCTATATATTGGTATATATATATACCAATACCAGAAGCTAAGAACTTTTTTATACTTATAAATTGTTGAGGAAAAAAATGTTTTTTAAACAATAACATTTTGTGATACCTGAACATTACACAAAATTCAAGTGTCAGTGTCTGCAAATAAATTTTTAAAGGGTTTTATTGAAATACAATTTGCAGCCTATAAAGTTCTGTCGAAAGTGTCTAATTTTATAATGTCTGGTATATTTAAGTGTGCCCCCAGAAACTCAGTAGCAAGATAAATAATATTTTAATGCAAAATTTTAAAAATAAGAAAAAACCTGTTAAAATCTCATGATATGCAAATATTGGCTTTTATTTTTTTTCAAGACAGAATATCACTGTGTAGCCCAGGCGGGCCTCAAACTCACCATGACCCTCCTGCCTCAGCCTCCCCGGTGCACCCCCACCAACAGCAATTTAAACAGAGAATCAGGGCTGGGGTGTGGCTCTGTGGCAGAGCACTTGCCTAGTGTGTGACACTGGGTTCCCTCTCCAGCACCATGACAACAAGGGAGAGAAGGACAGACAGACAGAGACAGAGAGAGAACAAACCCGTCACAGGGCTGCGGTAAACTATACTGGAGAATAAGGAAAATATTATGACTACCAACCTTCTCTTTACTTAGAATTACAATATTTTGTTCCCTGATTTTTTTAATCATTAATTTTGATTTTTAAAGCCAGGCAGAGCCCTTGCCTTGGGTGTGCCATGCCCTGGGTTCGATCTCCAGTATGATTACTGATTGGGGGGCCACCTTAAACCCGGAACCCAAAATCACTGCCTCCTTCTCTGGCCCTCTCCTCTGCTGTGTCTGAGCCCCGAGGCTGCCAGAGGTGGCTCCAGGGTCCTGCGGTGTGAAAGGGTCGCAGTACCTGGGAGGGGACAGCAAACCTCTAGCATGGTGGCCCCCTGGTGTACCAGGCTTCCTCCCCACCCCCCATGGTGTCGAGGAGCGCAGGGCTTTCACACTGAGCTGTGTCTCCAGCTCTTTTTTAAATTCTGTTTTTCCACTTTGAAACCGAGTCTCACTCAGTCACTCACCAATTGCCTGGGCTGGGCTTGAACTTGCAGCCCTCCTGCCTCAGCCTCCTAGCGTGCATCCACATCCCTCCTGGGCGTGCACCACCACACCTAGCCTGTCACATTTTTTAAACATTATAAAATGCATATTAATAATTTTACAGAGTTTCTATGAAATATTTTTCTTTCTAATTTAAAAAAATAATACATTGGGTGGGCTGGAGGCATAGGTCATTGTTAGAGTGCTTGGCTAATATATGCAGGGCTCTGGGTTAAATCCTTGGCACTGCAAAACATAAAAAATAAAAGGAAAGAATAAATAGTCACGGAGAAAAATAGAAGGGATCAAATAGTAAGAAGAAAATAAAATTCACCTTAAATACCATCACTCAGAGATCACCGCTGTAAATATTTTCTGTGTCTCCTGTTTCTGATTATCCTCCATCTGTTACACAGAGTTGGATTTGTACTCAATTTACACACGAGATCACACTGAGCATGCTGTCCTGTCATGTGGTTTCACTGGCCAATTTAATGACATGTCAATATGTTGTGATATCTATCCACCCAGGAAACACAGATTCCCATAGTATCATTTTTAATGGCTGCATACTATTCTATCACAGGAACACTACGCTTATCTAGTAAACTCCCTGTCTGTAAGCCCTTGGACTTTTTCTGAGATGAAAGATCGTGTGTGTGTGTGTGTGTGTGTGTGTGTGTGTGTGTGTGTGTTCTAGGGACTGAACCTGGGGCCTCAGGCATGCTAGGCAAATACTCTACAACCACACCACACCCCTAGCCCCAACAGAAATTCTTCTAAGAAAAATAATTACTTCAAATCAGTCATAAGCCACAGATTTCCTCTCTGCCTTTCCTTCCTACCCATGGGCACATGACAGTTTCACATGGCTGACAACGCAGTGAAAATGCCAGGGGTCACACACTTCATATGTTCTTTTTTTTCTTGTTTGTTTATTTTAATAATGTGTTATGAACACTTTAACAAAACAAAAAGCATTTTTGGCTTGCTGACCATACACCCAACAGGCTGCTGGCCGAGGCTGGCCCGGGGATTTACCACCCTGACTCTATGCTGGGAGGAAGGTCTCTATGTATAGAGCTTTTTCCTCCTTTTAAACCATTTGTTTCCCTTGGATAATTTCCCAGGAATGAGGCTCCTGGATCAATGGGCAGCCGGATTTCTAACGATCCCTGATACGGATTGCTATGCTAGAAAATTCTAGCAACCAGCAACTCCTGAGCACCTAAGAGTCCTGCAAACCTCACCAGTGCTTGCCAGCATCGGTTTTAATTGTATCTCACTGTAGCAGATACAACATGATATCTTGTATTCATTTCCAACTCTGATTGTTTTCAAAGTATAGGCTAGCTATTTATTTATTTTGCCTGTACCCAGTCGCTTTGTTGAGTAATTTTGGAGAAAAATTCATCTGAGAAGCAGCTGAAAAGAAGCCATGGCCCAACCCTCCCTCCAAGCGCAAAGATGAGCTGTGGGTTCAAATGCACCTTTGCAGCAAGGTCTCCTCTGAGGAGCTTGGCGGTGCTAATGTGATGGGGAGAGAAGCCCGGGAGGCTGGATCGCTCTGTGGCAGCTAAAAAGGACCAGAAAGTAGGTCAAGGAATCAGTCCTGCAGGTTCCAGTAATGAGAGTGGACGAAGGGGTGGAAAGTGCAGGGTGAGCCCGGGATGCTGCCCCAGTGGCTCTGTCAGGCCAGACGCGGTGGCCCTGCCCTCGTGTCCCCAAGCCCTCTTTCATTGAAGCAGCAATGTGGGTTTCTCCTCCCACGGAAGCCTGACGGTCCCAGGGGTGGAAATGACTCCTCCGAGCAGCCTTTTCCCTTCTCAGGAGAAATGTGGCTCATCTTCCCCCTCACCCCAGCACAAGGGAGACGTGGGGAGCCCCGTCCTCGGGTGGGCTAGACACAGCACGGGAAGACACTTTCATTCCTGACACAGGCTTGCACACAATTTTTTTTTTTTTAACTAGGAATTGAACCCAGGATCTTTACACTGAGCTACATCCCAGACTTAACTTTTATTTTTATTTTGAGACTGAGTTTTGCTAAGTCACTAAGTTGTCCAGGCTGAGCTGGAATGTGCAATCTTCCTTTCTGTCCCAGCTCCCACAGTGCTGGAATTACAGGTGTGCCGCCACCACACTCAGCTGGCACATACGTCTTTACTTAGCACATTTCAAAGTTTTAAAATGAGGATCAGAGGGAAATACAGTGAGGCCGAGGCAGGAGGACTCCCACGGGATGACCTCAAGGGAGACGTCAAGGTTGCATAAAATGAAAGAGACTTTCTGACCTGTCTTACCTTTTTTTCTCTACATAAAGTGCCAGAGACCACAGAATGGCTACAGAATCAGCAGGCGACCTGTACTAGAGCATGAGGAAGCAAAGGAAGCCAGCCGTAGCGGGTGACAAGGGGCATGGCAAGCAGAAAAGTGTATTTTTACCCCCAAAGCATTTTCCTTTTGTTGTGGTTGCTGATCTACGCTTGCAATCTGTAATATTTACATTCATTCGGGGAACTGAATGAATACATACATGTGTCATACGTGTGTACATACATGTGTCATACGTGTGTACATACGTGTGTCATACCACAATCACTTCCATTGCCCTTCCCCTGCCCGTGCTCTCATCCCCTTTCCCATCTCCAAAAACTCTGCCCCTGCCCTGATGCCACGCCTCCTCCTTTGGTTCACTCGGTTTAATTTCTTTATATGTTTAGAATTCTCCGAAAAGAAAAACGATGTAACATTTAACTTTCTGGGTCCAACAAATTTCACTTAATGCTGTGAGTCCAAGATCCTCCCATTTGCCTGGGAATGACATGAATTTGTTCTGCTTTATGACCGAATGAAATTTCACTGTGTAAATATTCCACTTCCGTTTTTATCCACGCATCTGTGGATGGGCATCGAGGCTATTTCCAGTGCTTAACCAGTAGGAATTACACTGCTATCCACATGGCTGTGCATGTGTAATATGATGACTTTAATTCTTTCTGGAATGTTCCTGGGAAGCTATAGCTAGATCAAATGTAACTTCTATTCCCACCAACAAAACAAGCCCCCAAGTCCAGGTTTGCCTTCCTCCTCTTCCCCAGCCTCACCCGTTCCTCACCGCAAAGCTCACCTGGACCCACAGCAGAGGCTCCTAAAGGGCCAGCTGGGGCTGGTGGGCAGCGCTCCTCCAATCAACAACACACCCTCGTCGCTCCTGCCCGACGGCTGTGGGCAGAGGAGAGGGCAGGTG